TTTTCGTACAATTTGTACTAGAAATAAAAACCTAAATTGGACAATAATTATGGGACGGAGGGAACTTTTATTTGAAGAATGACGAACTGATGAGGATATTTTGTTCTCATCATCTTTAATTCACCAAATTGAACTCTTGAAATAAAAGGGATAAAAGATATGGATATGATAATGTGACATTATATTTCACATTGTTGAGGAACTTAATTAATTAGCTCCTCAAAAGAAATCTATCAGATTGAAATTGCGATTAGCTTGAATGTATTACGTGCAAACTAATGGCACTTTGTAGTTCAAGGCTGTCAGTTCTTTTAAAGTCTGTTTGAGAATTGAATTAAAAAAAAAAAAATATCGCACGAAAACTGGGGCTGCGGGCTTTTGCCCAATCTTTCACAAAAAAATCGGAAAATACACATAGGTAAAGATTTGTTACGTGGGCCAGTAGGAGGAAAAATTTGAAGACATTATTCCCTCCCTACCAAGATATTATACAGTTTCAATTTTTGACGAGTCCGTATCCATCACCGAGACTGGACCGGCTCATCAACCGAAAGGAGAGTCCAACCGGAAACTCTTGAGGTGGTTTAGATTCCCGAAATCTAATAGGACTCAGAGATTTCTCAGGTATTTCCATACCTATAAATAGGGTTACTCATGCCACAATATAGATACGCAATACATAGCTTAACATACTACATACCCAAATCTTCCAGCAACCCTTTATTGACTTAAGTATCGGAGCGTCTACCCTCGGGAGACTCCGAGGCACTGTTTTGCAGGAAATCAAGCATAGCCAATTTTCATTTTTATTATAAATTATATTAAACTTAAAAAAATTCATTAATCTGTGATTTCATTGACCGTTCCACCGTTAGATCGGCGGCGCGAAACCAAGCATAGCCAATTTTCATTTTTATTATAAATTATATTAAACTTAAAAAAATTCATTAATCTGTGATTTCATTGACTTCTATTGCGTACAAGCGTTAAGAATTTAATTTCTTTTTTTTTTTTCCCGATAACACCTACTAATCCTTTCACCGGATTATAGACATTTTGATGGTGCATAAGACAGTTGTATAAATATTTTTAGCATTTAAAAGTGGATTCGAAAAGTGATCAATTTTAAGCTGTTCCTTATATTGCATCAAGCTTCAGTTATTTTCCTTTAACTTCCAATTTTGTACGACGAAAATTTTCAACTAGATAATGAAATTCGCAATTTTATTATTATCATTATTGTTTTTTTTTTTTTTTTTATCGTTTTTGCTATAAGAGGCTATCTCGAGTCATTTGCCCAAATTTCACTATAGGCTGTCTCGAGTCATTTGCCCAAACAGTTTTCTAAATAGAACTTTACTTTTATTCTAATTTATTCTCAAAATGAAAATTTAAACTAGACCAACATTTTGGAACTGAATGAAAATACTAGATTATCCCATGATCGGTACTGCTGCGGTGCATAATTTAATTTCCATGATGTAATAGGGGAATATATAATTAACATACATTAGAAATGTAGTGGAACCATGTAAGCCTCTGTTGGATCATGTGCTAAAAGATTTTACACTTCAGAACCTATAGCTCCTCAACATAAACAGTTCTCGTGTTTTATTAATTTGAAATAATATATTGTTGAGGTAGATAAGGTTAACACGAACGGTTGATAAATTAAAAATTATATAAAATTTAGGAATTTTGAGAATCTACCTATTAATGTACAGTATATGAAAATTTGCAAGCGCACCTATAGCTCTAATGACTTCTACCAACCGCCAAGGAACCGTGTTAATTACTCGAGAAGCAAATCCCACTAAAGAGAAAAACGAATCTAAACCCTACATGCAAAATACTTTAATTTATCTGTGTTTCCCGAAAAAAAATTTAACATGAAAAATAATTCGTTTTTATTATACTCCCTTCGTTTAAAAAAATAATTCACATGAATTTTCTAAATTTATTTTAAAATTAGTACAAATTTCAAAAATCAACGTGAATTATTTTTTTTTGACAAAAGTAATATTATTTTAGTTTAATATAATGAATTTGTTTTATGATGAAGAGAATATCAACTGTTACTTATCCATATAAATTAATCATCCATGGAATTCTAACATTCTGCCCACTAGTTATTACTTTCTCAATCTCGAAATTATTGTCTAATTTAGATTTTTATTTTTAGTATAAATTGATTTAAAAGTGATAATCTAAACTAGACAATAATTTTGAGACAGAGAAAGTATATCATAATCCCTCCGATCATGATTATGAATCATAGGTTTTTTCCAAGGCTACATTTTCCACAGAGTTGTCCTCTCCACCTATTACACTGGTGATGACTAAATTGTCAACTTTTATTTAGGTTTTTTTTTTCAATATAATGTTGACTAATTAAGGTCATATTAGAGACAACTAATTCACTTCAACCAAGTTTTATTAATTTAAATGAGTAAAATATTTGTGTCCCCTAAATTGGACCAAAAGAGTAAAATGTGAATTCGAAACCACATCATCACAGTCAAACAACAAAATTACATATCGATGCTATAATAAAATAATTGGACGTGTGACATCTAGATATTTTAATCTCAAATCAAAACGGTCACATTTATCTATACTACTAGTCCACGCTCGATTACAAATACTACATATCCAAATAAAGTTAGGGCTTATTTAGCTATAAATATATGTAGCTAGCTAACGCACCGAGTAATAACAACCATCAACGTAAGAAATTATAAACTCAAGCAGCAGGCGCATAATCATATCCTCCATCCCCGTTATCGTCATCATCTCCATCGCCATCTACAGGTGCAGTCTCGTAGTAAGAACGGTAAAATTGCTCGTCACCTCCTACGCAGATGGTGTTAATGATAGGAGCAAAAAGACCACATTTGCTGCTTGTAAGCATGGAATTTGCGGTTGCCACGGCCATAAAAATGGACTAATTAATGGAGCAAACGTCAGTCTAGATACTATTTTCTTTTTTTCTTCTTTTCTGTGAGTGAGCTGAGTTGCTGATAGTGTATGACTGTAAGTTGACTGCTGAGAGTGAGAATAGGTAAACTAAGCAAGCACATATATATAGCACCACCACTGTACGAGGTTCTTGTATTAGGGCAAGTTCTGGGGCCAATCAAAATGATAATATATTATTTTCATTTTATTTTTTTTGGTGTTGGCATGGAATCTCTCTATCTTTCTTTTTCTGAAGAAAAAAGAAAAGAAAAAAAACAGAACCACAAAATGTTTAAAGCACCCAAACTAATTTTATTTGACATATGTTCCTTCCGGGGGAAACTAACAACCTGTGTTAGTATTTTTGCTATGACTACATAATATTTGAGTGAAGTTGAAAAATGTTATTATTAATTACTTCATCACTGTTCAAAAATAATTTTTTTATTTGGAGTTTTAATTTCAAACTAATTTGTACTTAAAAAAATGAAAGTTCAAACTAAATAAACATTAGGACAAAAGGAGTGATTGTTTTTTGCCCTCCAATTGTCCAATGGGAAAAAAAGAATTAACCAAATTGGCAATTACAAATAACAGAATTAAGAAGAAGATAAACGTAACTGCATAAGCACTTATTCTTCCACAACAACAGTACCGGAATAGATAAGAAAGATGCCAAGCTGATGAGTGTCAAACTGTCAATCACAGAAAAATTATGTTCAGTATAAATGTGAGTATTTAGCAATATATTTGTTCTTTCCCTTTTTTTTTTCCTACCGCAACTTCTAATTAATATATAGAAGTGATAATGTATAGCTATCATCCGTAAAAAATACTAGAAAACTTTTTTTTTCCCTCTAAAAATCAGATTCTCTCTCGGAATGATGGTTTTATTTGTTATAATTAATTAACAAGATAATGTGACAAATATAACAATTATTTTAGAACGGAAGGAATGTAAATTATGTGTGATGCTTTCATCCATTTTTCTTGATTACCTTCATGCAAACGTTACCTTAGGCAGCTAGCAAGCGTCGAACCGGCAATTCACTCGTGCTCTGGTGTGGGCAAGATTATTCAGAAGTGTGTAGTTCGCATGGACATTTTTGCCTTGTTGGCGTCACCTTTTCCACATTCCATTATCGAGCTATCTTTTGCCCTTTTGTTTCCTTTTGCGATCTTTTGAAGATCTTCCGGCCTTCCGGGTACCCAAAAGTTTTATTTATTTAGGCAATCATTCATTTGCTTTTCTTGAAAATGAAAAAACAAAAAGGAAATTTTCATTTCTGACTAACTGTAATTTATGGCTTTGTTACTCACAAATTTTGGCTCAACTTAATATACATATATAATCAGCGTTATTTATAAATTAAGTCAAATGCGACGTCGATCAGCAAATGCTTTTTCCGGTCCCATAATAATGGAGTAATGCGCTTTTTGCTCCAAAACATATATTTGTTAGTTTTAAAACGGGTTATATTTGAATTTTTTTACACTAAATTAAATCTCATACTTCCAACTTAAAATGTGGATATGTTTTATTGACACGAGCACATGTAATTTACAAGCACGATGTGAGGTAATATGACGACAACAACAACAACAAGAAGCCAACATTTCATGTCACAATATTCTTCAATCGACAATGCTACATGTTTTTTTATGTAAAATTAAATATCTCATATCACCATTTCAATTCATATCGTTTTTTGGTAATTAAAAGATAGTGTGAGATGATCCTATGTATCATCGTGTAGTATATGTTGTGAGACGATCAATATAGCATTATTCTCATCATTGAGATGGTACATATTGAACAAATCATAGTACGTTGTCCATTGGAAGTTGGAACCGCAATTTGCAACTCAACGAAACTTTTGGGAGAGAATACATCGATTGGAAATAGCACATCATTGCCATTTGCATACATTCAGATATAATATAGGTAGCTAAGAAACTAGAAATGTATATCTGGGCTGAGCTTGTACCTGTTAGAATGGTAAGACACCACATCTTGGAGAAGAGTTTTGTAATACCATAATGGACTTTATCACTATGAGCCCAAATTATAAGCCCATAGTTCTGCTCTGCTCTTTTCTTTTTTCACGGCGCTGATGGACGAACTCTGATGCCAGTTGAAAAATTGCAACAAATTCCAGCCAGTCCTTTCAATGGCTAGAAATCTTAGCTCAGTGTGTGGCTAGTGTGTGCCCCGACCCGAATCCCGTCCTATCAAATTTGAAAAAACCCGGATAATTACCCAAAAATTGTCGTCCTAAACTCTTGATTATGGCCGCTACTCAAATTTGCCACCGTGTCTCCTCCCCACTCCCTCACCGGCGAACCATTTTCAGTCATCGGAATAACGCCGTGAATCCCCCCTCGGCATTTTGCCTCCCTCCTAAGAAAAGCCCGTATTTACGAACAACTAACGGGAAACGAGCCAAGGTGAAATGGGTTGTGAGACAGAGTGTAGCCGAAGAAAGCCCGCCAAAATCCAAAGATGAAGTGGAAAGATTGGTGGAGTTTTTGTATGAGGATCTTCCACATCTCTTTGATGATCAAGGAATTGACCGGACGGCGTATGATGAACGGGTTAAGTTCAGGGACCCCATCACTAAACACGATACTGTCAGTGGATATCTCTTCAATATTGCCATGTTGAAGTCTCTCTTCCGACCTGATTTTCTGTTGCATTGGGTCAAAAAGGTATGATTTTTAATCAATATTAGGTTCAATCATCATGTCTGATGATGTTATTTACAGTTCCTTGCTCAAATGGCCAATGGGATGTTCGTTGTTCTTGGGATTCTTTTATTAGTTTATGACGTGCCATTCATAATTTTTGTGCTTATAATATATGATGTAAATCAGGAAGTTTGTAGGTTTCAAAGTTCTGTATTCTGTGTGGGTATTTGGATTGGATGATTGAGTTTTCTTAGACAGGGCCTTATGAGATAACCACAAGGTGGACTATGGTTATGAAGTTTGCTCTTCTGCCTTGGAAACCTGAATTAGTCTTCACTGGCACTTCTGTCATGGGCATCAATCCTGAAACCAACAAATTCTGCAGCCATATCGTAAGATTTTTACTGCCTGTTGTTCCACTAGTTTACAGCCCGACTTAGTGCTTATTTTAATTTTTTGTTTTTTATAATCGATAGGACTACTGGGATTCCATAGCAAACCAGGACTATTTCTCCTTGGAAGGACTCTTGGATGTGATAAAGCAAGTATGTCTGCTCCTTACATTACTCTGTTGCAATATTTCTATCTTGAATTCCTTGGAAGGTTAGATTGTTTGTGAATTGTGATTGTAACAGTTGCGAATCTACAAGACGCCTGATTTAGAATCCCCGAAATATCAGATACTGAAAAGAACAGCTACTTATGAGGTTTGGTGTTGTTTTCTCCATTTATTGCGTTTATTCTATATAATAATTCCATATTTAAGCATCTTTATGTTATACTTGCATCTGAATCGGGATTTGTTTCCTTACTCTCATCTGAATCTAGGATATGTTTCCTTCCTTTCATCTCCATTCAAAATACAGTGGTGGAAAATTTTCAGAAAGCTGGAGTCTTTATGTTCAAATTTCATTGATGCCATCTTTCATATAGAAGTGATTGGCTGACAAAATTTTCTTCTCCTGGTGTAGGTGAGACAGTATGATCCTTTTATAGTTGTAGAAACAGATGGCGATAAGTTGTCTGGCTCAGGTGGCTTTAATACTGTAGCTGGGTAATGCATTGTTTGAATTCATTCTCTTGCTCAGGTTGGTACCATGTGCTCTCTACGTTAACTTAATCTTTCTACGCAGATATATTTTTGGCAAGAACGCAACAACGGAGAAAATACCCATGACTACTCCTGTGTTTACACAGGCAGTAGATGAAAACACATCCAATGTGTCAATCCAGATAGTTTTACCAGCGGAAAAGGATTTAGACAGGTGAAGTACGAACACTGCATTAGGCTAATAGCTATGAAACACAACTTAGAGTTAGAGTTCACCTCCTATGATAGTTGTACTGTCCGCGATAGGATTCGGTGGACAGAGAGCTCTGCATAAAGAGATTTCAATTTAGTGCTGCTAATCATGTTGATAGTGACATAACATAACAAGCTGCATTTCAACAGCTTACCAGCTCCAAACCAAGAAACCATCAAGCTGCGAAAGGTAGATAGAGGCATCGCTGCAGTCTCAAAATTTAGTGGAAAACCAGTGGAGGATATTGTCATTGAGAAAGAGAAATCATTGAGAAATGATCTCATCAGGGATGGGCTTAAGCCTAAACCTGGTTGCTTGCTTGCACGTTACAACGATCCAGGTCGAACTTGGAGCTTTATGATGGTAAGAACCACCCTATGTGACATATTTTCCTTCTCTTCTTATGAACTTAATGATGCAACGTGTTAAATTATAGTAATATTTGAACCATTGAACTAACTAATTGTATTGTCTTTCATTTCCTGTTTCGCTACATTATGAAGAGGAATGAGGTGCTTATATGGCTAGAGGAGTTCAGCCTGGAATAAGGTTGACTGGTTGAGCAATTTTAGCTGGACTAGCCCTAGGACTTCATTTCTTGCTCCATTACTCGGCTTCACAAAAGCGATATATGATTTCGGCTGTACAGATATTCAAACTAGAGGGGAAATGTTATATAACCTTACATTCGGGATGTACTCTCAGTGTGATGACGAAAGGAATTCCCTATTAAGATGGTGTATTAATCGTGTTTTACACTTTTACTAGTACAAAGTATGCCGTTTTTATTAAGTCTGTTGGCCGACCTGGCTGAGAGACTACTACTGTTTTTGTTGTTGTTACTAAAGTTCATATCAAAATTTAAGCGTGATACAAACTTAAAATAATACTACTTAAAATAATACTTTTTCCGTCTCAAACTAAGAGTTTTGTTTAGGTTGTCCGGAGATATTGTTTTACTCTTAACTCAAAAGGGCAACGGCCATGATGAACTTGGTGATCATCAGAATGGGAGTAACTAAAGAACTGAAAAAGGTGTAGACAGCTTCACATAAATCCAACTAGCAAACCAATGTGCATTAGAGACGTGATGTGCATAATAAATCCAGAGAGATTCCAGATGCGCTACATTTTAACTTGAGCACATGGACACTAAAAAGCCTGCTGATTTTTCTATATGTAAAAGGGCCATGTGAAACCTTCCAAAGAGAGGGGGCGGGTGGGGGTTTGGGGGCATAAGCCATTTTAAAATGAAGATTTTTCAGTTTTTGCCAACTCCATTCCAACCCATATTTGTTCTTTTCCTTTTATTTTTCCTCCCCTAGAAAGGAAAAAAAAATCCCCCACTAATTAGCCTCATTAGTTTCCTTTTCTCCTTCTCTTTTTTTGTGTGGTTGTAGAGAAGTCTTTAATTTGTTACAAATTTCAGAAAAGGATATGAAATTCCTCCAAATTTGACCAATTTTTTCAATATTATGAAACAAAAAGTCAAATCACCCTTTATCTTCTCTAATTTTCTTCTAGTTGTGTTTACTGTTTACCATGACACGATGAATGATTGGACGACATCGGATATTATCACGAAGTCAAATTCAAAAGTTTAAGACAATAGACAAATTAGGAAAGTATCAAAAAAAGAAAGAAAAGAAGAGAAGTCACTCATGAACTTTTTTACACATCCAAAAAAAAAAAAGAAAAAAAAAAGAGAAGAAGGGCATCACATTTCATCCAATCCAACCAACTTTGACCTATTCAACCCACACTTTTAATTACTTTTAATTACGCGCCCCTGAGGATTTAATTGCAGTGGTCATTACCATAATTACATTCGGCCTCTCTTCTTGGAAAACAACAGCTGAAAAAAAAAAGCATTCTTTCAAAATTCAAAGGCCGGTTGAAACTTAAAAAGCAGCCAGCCGCCTTCATCTTCTTCTTCTGCTTCTTCTTCTAGGCTTCTTCTTAGGTTTCTGGTTTCCACACACACCAAAAGGGGAAGTGTGTGTTGACACGGAATCTAAAACACGTAACGTAAGTGGACTAGTAAAAATTTTCCACTTTGTATTTTCAATTTAGTCTCATTTTTGGACCATTTAAATTTGGTGGCATTGCATGTTGTTCTCTCTTCTCTTTTTGCCTGCAAAATTATATTCCCCGAATCTCATTCTTCTCATCAGAAGCCTCTCGGAAAGGCCTTCTCAAATCTCAACCCACGTTTTTCCCTCTATTAAATTACTGACATTTTTTCTAATATTAAAATTTTAGGCTAACAAAATCAATCCCATTTGAGCCTTTTTTTTTTTTTTTCTGGTTAATACATTTGAAGTTCCTCCCTTTCTTTCTCTCCCCTCTTGGCTGCTGCTTTTTTTCTTGAGGGGAGATTGAAGGTGTCTTTTCTTTCGGGGGTGCGATTGAGCCTTGAAAGGTAATTATCTTTTCTTATTCTGGGCTGCTCTTTTTTTTATGATAGATATGGTGTAGAATTTTCCTTGATAAGTTCATTTGACATGTTTTCTTGGAGATCTGTTATTGATTTCATGGTTTGTTTGTCATGGTTTTGATGCATTTCGTTTTCTTTAACTTGTAAAGAATGAATTTTTTTTATCCGGTTTTGTTCTGAAGATGATAAAAGTTCACAATGTATGTAAATCAAGTACCGGAAAGATTCTGTTTTTATGTTCAAATTTTTTGATGTGCTTGCTTGATGATGCACACCTGCTCTGTTGAATCTTGGAATCGCTTTTAAAGAATGTGTTTTGTTTATGAATTGCATTGGGAAATTTTATGAACGATAGAGGAGAGTGGAATCTTGATCTGTGGTCTAAAGAACTAGCCTTTCTTACTGTTCGTAGAACTACATTGTTGCTAACATACAACTATAATGAAACTGCATTCAAGTTGGTACAAAAGGGGAACATCTGCAACGAATTCTAATTCAATGTTATCCACTTTTGTCTAGTTGCCTTTCAATGCCTTGCTAAAGTTTCCCTTTCTAAAACCGGAAAGGATGGTTGAGTCATTTCTTTGGTTAGATGTCACGGTCTTTCAGATTTAGTATTAGTTTCAAGGATCTATCATTTACAATCAATTCTGCTGAGGGCATCAGTTTTGCTCAAGTTGTCAAGTGAATTATGTTTTTTCTTTTTTTCTTCTCTGCTTTCAAGGAGTTTTTCTCCAAAGTGTCTTACCTAGTGATGGTTTGATCTGATCAGGGGCAAACATGGCAGAGACAAAATCAAGCACCCCTTTACTCCCTCCCTCGTCTGGGAAGTTCCCAGATTATAAGAAATCGATCAAGTTGAAGTACGTCAAGCTCGGTTATCATTATCTCATTACTCATGGAATGTACCTCTTCATCACCCCTTTTATTGTTGTGGTTGCTGCTCAAATGTCCACCTGGTCCCTCCCTGACCTCTATGAGCTTTGGGATAATCTTCAATACAACTTAATTTCGGTCATCCTATGCTCAAGTCTCTTAGTTTTCATATCAACCATCTACTTCCTCACTCGTCCTCGCCCTGTTTACCTTGTCGATTTTGCTTGCTACAAGCCTGATGAAGCTCGACGGTGTACAAAGAAGACTTTCATGGAACAGTCCCAAATGGTTGGCACATTTTCAGAAGAGAATCTTGAGTTTCAGAGGAAAATCCTTCAAAGGTCTGGCCTTGGAGATAATACTTACCTTCCTGAAGCTGTACTCAATATTCCCCCAAATCCATCTATGAAGGAAGCTAGAAAAGAAGCTGAGGTTGTTATGTTTGGTGCCATCGACCAGCTTTTGGCCAAGACCAAAGTGAATCCAAAAGATATTGGAATTTTGGTTGTGAACTGTAGCTTGTTCAATCCAACCCCAAGTTTGTCTGCAATGGTAATTAACCATTATAAGCTCCGAGGAAATATAGCTAGCTACAATCTAGGAGGCATGGGCTGCAGTGCTGGTCTGATCTCTATTGATCTAGCCAAAAAACTTCTACAGTACCATCCAAACTCATACGCCTTGGTCGTGAGCATGGAGAACATTACTCTGAATTGGTATTTCGGAAATGACAGGTCAAAGCTTGTTTCAAACTGTTTGTTCAGAATGGGAGGGGCTGCAATACTATTATCTAACAAATTTTCCGAGAGAAGAAGAGCCAAGTACAAATTGGTTCACGCTGTTCGTACTCACAAGGGTGCCGATGATAAGTGCTATGCCTGTGTCGTGCAAGAGGAAGATGATAATGGAAAGATTGGTGTTTCATTGTCAAAGGAGCTAATGGCTGTGGCTGGCGATGCTCTGAAGACTAATATCACCACTCTAGGACCTCTTGTCCTGCCAATGTCCGAGCAGCTGCTTTTCTTTGCTACTTTAGTTGGTAGGAAACTGTTTAAGATGAAGCTCAAGCCCTACATTCCAGATTTTAAGCTTGCTTTTGAGCACTTCTGCATTCATGCTGGAGGCAGAGCTGTCTTGGATGAAATCGAGAAAAACTTGCAGCTATCTGAATGGCACATGGAGCCTTCAAGAATGACTTTATATCGATTTGGCAACACCTCAAGTAGCTCTTTGTGGTACGAATTAGCTTATACAGAAGCTAAAGGAAGAGTGAGGAGAGGAGATAGGGTATGGCAGATTGCATTCGGTTCCGGGTTCAAGTGTAACAGTGCTGTCTGGAAGGCACTAAGGTCAGTAAAGCCTTCAAAGGAAACTAACGCAAACCCCTGGTTGGCTGAGATAGATAATTTCCCAGTTGATGTTCCAAAGGTAGCAGTTATTTGAAGTTCTGATAGTGCTTCCAGACCGTTGGATCTATACGGAAGACTGTTTTTTAGCAATTTGAGTTTTGAAAGACTGCATAACGTCTGAGCGTGTGCTCTTTAGGGGTTGATGCTATGATCAGTTTCCTTTTCTTGGTGGTTAATTTTTGTGGATTGTAGAACCCAGCCATTATTAGTATTTGTTTATTTAAAAGCCCCTTCATTGACTTGATCAATTTGTAACCCTTACGTGTTTGGATTGGATGTTAACAATGTATATGAACTCTGCAAAAGGTTCTGCCCAGAAAAGTTGCAACTGCAGTTTAGTTCCTCAAAATGTATTTTTCCATCTAATTCTAGTGGAAAAGGGAAAATTAAACCCTTGATCGTAGATATTGCAAGAGTCTAAATTTTTCTGATCATTAAACAGATCGGATTGGACTAAATTCATTAACCTGAATTTTCATCTTTGAAAATAACAATCCCATGAACATTAATGGCATAAGATTGTTTACTCACATCTGTGCATACAACCAACCAAAATGCAAGCGCTCACTCTCTACATGTACAAGACATAAGCAACAAAAAGTACACCAGTTTAATAGTCACCAATTTACCGCAATTTGCATTTTCAAGTGGCCCCCGCGGGCAAAAATAAGGCCAGTAAACTGCGCGTCTACGTGTCATGTTACTTTTCCGTTACAACTAGCTGCTCAGGTACTCTCTCCTTCTTCCTTTTCCCTGACTTTTCCTTCCTCTGCAATATGGAAGCCCTCAATTTTGCGGGAAACTTCATCTGCAGCAACTTTCACCCTTCCTGTAGATCCATTGTCTGAAACAGGCTCGCTATCATCGTTGGTAAGTGACCCTGTCTGCCATATTCTGATGGTTCCATCTTCAGACCCTGAAGCATATGTTTCCCCTACTGGTGCAAAGCGCACACAGTGCACAGGACCATGATGCCCCTTGTTGCAAGCTGCATCAAAATACAACAATATCAGTGGGCAAAAACCCATAGCAAAACCAACGAGACATTTCTAGATCTTAATCAATAATAGTGTAATACAATTTGGAGCACACACAGACTAAAGTAAGCATAAATGTGCTTTCACAAAAGTCAGGGAAAGAAGTTAAGAGCTACAGAAGCAGGACAGAGAAGGAGATCGTTACGCAAGGAAGACAACCTAATGTTATTCTCTTTTTTCTATTCATATTGTTAAAGTCGGATTTGAATCCACATCAGTTGCTATTAAACCATTTGCAGTAGGGCATACCTATCTCTTCACCAGTATGGAAATCAAATACACGAATCCACATGTCTTCTCCTGCAGCAACAAATTTAAAGCCATACTTGGGTTCCAAAGAAGCTGATTCTACTGTGCATGGCATGTTGTAGCTTTTCACCAATCCAAAGCTAGCACACACCAAAAAAAAAAAGATCAAACAGCATTAGAAATTGTCAGGTTAAGTTTGCATAATGCAGTAATAATTTCATACAAACTCACTGGTTTGCATCCCAGAACTTCACACTGAAACCATCAGCAGTTGTAATATACCGACCATCTTGACTCACTTCAGCACTAGTCACAGATGATTTAGTCTCAAGTGTCCGGACCACACTACCAGTTCTGACATCCCATAGTCTGAAAATAATGACGAGTTAATATCAACATCAAGTTAAGTAATAAGAGAAATTTGATAAGAGGCTTCAAAAGAAAAAGACTGTTTGAGAAAAATTTTTTTGCCAAAAATGAGTTCTAATATAACAGTGTACAAGCTACAGAAACTATCTAATAATGTTTCAACCATCACACAAATTTGAGACGCCACTAGTACAAGTCTTACTCTAGTTCACAACAATTAGACAACACATGAGATCGGGTTCTCTTAACCTAAAAGCAGCTTTTGAGTGTTCTTTTTTACTTTTACCTCTACTTTTAGCCACTAGAAAATGAAAAGGATCAATGGAGAAGGTAATATCAGCTACATTAGAACTTAGTTCAATTTGCATGTTCAAAGATACATTTCAACCAAGCTAATCAGCTGCACTAGAGCTCTACCAATGTTGCATAAGGTCCCTAGAGCTTTTAGACCATTCTTCCTCATAATGCATTTATACTGCAAAGATGGTAAGACAGGTCTTACTTTTAACTTCTGAGCTATCCCAGAAAGGTATCATAAAAAGTCCTACAATCTGGACTTCGAAGTTAGAACCACAGCATTTGGTTCTTTCAAACAATTGTTCCCCATTTGCATCCCTTCCCCTTGCTCCATTAAAGAAACAAATCTTGTAACCAGTAAAAATAGGCCATAACTCCTGAATTTTCCTTAAGCCAAACTCTATAAGAGTAAAGCTGGTAGGAAAGACCGTCATATGTAGGATGGATTAACCATCAGCACAACATGAGTATTGACCAATATTGCTGTAGAAATGCTTCACACCTAGAGGTTTAATTTTACATACACACCTAGAGGTTTACTTTTTCAACACCAACAGGCAAACAGAAAAAAATAATCCGCCAAGCATACCTGACTCCTCCCATATCAGTACAAGAACTTAGTATCGTCTGATCACTGTGGAGCCAAGTGACAGTTCTTACAGAGCCAGGAGACTTGTCCACTTCTCTGGGTGGAGCATCCAGGCGATTCAAGTCATATATTCGGAGAGCTTTCTCGACTCCACCAGTCAGTAAAAAGTTGGTATCCTATTCTCAAGAAAAATGACAAATATAAGAGAGAAGACAATGTTTTGCAACAGCTGCGCATACGCTGAACTTCAATGATACCTCTGAAAAAGCACAGGCGCGAACAATGTGTTTGTGCTCAAAAGAATGTAGAACCTCTCCTGTGATGGCATCCCAGATTTTACTGCATCATGATTAGGTACACAAGCTACATCAATAAGTTGATAGCTAATCAAACTTAAGAATATGCAACGTTGAGAAGAACTTCTGACATAAAATATTTTGAGCAACTAAAACTTGTATTGTTACATAAGTCAGCTTTATAAATTGCAAATGGAGCTGGAAGAGTCATTATTGACAATTCTTTCAGCTTTTTGCTAATACTGGATTAGATCAAAATGGCTCATTTAAATTCCGAGGCTTCTTGATTTGGTGAAGTTGCCGGAAATCAATATATCAATGCACCAATGCATCTTGGGTCGTACTACTTAAACAGCCTCTCTGTATTGAAAAACAGGGGTAAGGCTGCGTACATCTTGAAGCCCCAGAGCCCAACCGAGTTGGGAATATACTGGGTGTGTTGTTTATGGAGTCCAACACTTACAGAAAGCATAACAATTTTCAATCAGCTTTATTATTTATAGTGCTTCTCACTTAATATAATCTTTCCTATAATGCAAACTGACAAATAAATCAATTGGGACATAAATAAGTCAATAAGTCAGTGTACAAGTTTGCTTCCACATGGAAAACGCGGAGCATGTTACGTACGCCGAGAAATCGGCAGAACCAGTAGCCGCACGATAAGCATTTGAATCCAGGCAGCAACTCCAAACTGCACCTTTATGCCCTTCAAATGTCCCAATCCAATCTCCAGTCTCACCATTTCGAAGCATTGGCTTGGAATCTGGAACAAAAAAAACATTGTCGACACAATCCAAGGAATAAAAGACTCTTAGCATGATTATTGTGCACTAATGAACACAACAGAAGGTATTAATGCGAGTCTGTGTCTTTATCACCCAAAAATTTTTGGAAGCTCATCAAAGGCAGACTACCAACTCTGGAAACTTTGATCGAGTTAAAGAAAGCCAATTTCAGATGAAATATTAGTTCCACAGTCATAGCAACTCCTTAACAGTTAACGGTTCAACTTTGTTAACCCACATCTCTAGGTATAATCTGATCAATGTTCTCATCTTTACTAAAACATTTTAAATTAACGAAATAAAAGGAGCTAAAGGAGCTTATTAAGTTGATATTCAAGAATTAAATCCATAAGGCACCACTTTGTTCTTGCTGTAAATTGAGTACACGATTGCTTGAAGTCATTATATAATCAAAAAAGCTTATGACACAATCCAAAACCAAAAGAAGCCATTTAAAGATGAATCTGGAGGCATTTATCTGGCAGCCAATAATGCATATCAAAGAGGGAAAAAGATATGAAAATGCATACCCTTGCTGGCACTAATGAGGAAGTACCCATCTGGCGTAACGGGACTATAAAACAAATCAACCACAGGGCGGGAATGGCCGTGACAAACCAATGGCACCGTTACTTTCTTTTTGTCCATTTATCCCGAATTCGACAAAGACTGAGGCCTAATTCTTCTTCCCTTTTCTACTCTGTACTCTCTATCTAACAATCTATATTTATCGAAACACAAAAATGTATCGGGTTGGCTGATCAAAAAATACCAAACCCACTTCAAATTCAATCTTTACCAAACAAATATTTTATCTGAAAGCTTCAAAAAATTGCTGAAATGCTTCGAAACCAAAAAAAAAGAAAAGAAAAGAAAAAAGGAAGCTAGCTGGTGTACAGAATATAACTTTTTACATAAACAGCTTAAGAAGTGATCTGGAAGGTACAAGATTGAATAAAAAAAAACACAAAGGTGGGATTTTTAGCCGTATCGGAAATGCTCGTAATGCGTTCTGGCAGTTCGTCTTTCAGAAATTCTGGCTTCGGAATGATGGATACTGAAGAACAACAGTACAGGAAGAAAGAGGTTACCGGTACCGTTATGTTGTCGGCCTTTTTGTCTTGCCCAGAAAATCAACTGCGAAAGTCGGCCCAGTTCATGATAGCACCAATATGGGCTTATCTATCCATTTTAGTCCACTTCCAGAAACCTGTCATAAACTGAATGGGTTAACATTTTTTTTCTTTTCCAATTTCTGTTTTTTCTTTCTTTTTTTTTTTTTTTCTGGAAATGATATTCATTGTTACAAACACTTTCTTTAATTCTTCAACAAAAAAAAAAACACTTTCCTTAAAATAATCTGTTTTTCAGTAAAAATCTGAGTAACAAAATAATCAATGTTTAACAGTATCATGTGTTTCCTTGTTTGTATTTTCTTTTTTTTTTCCATATAAGTGTTGGGAAAGGTAGGTTATCCTATTTTTATTTTGTGGCCCTTCAATTTTAATGGTGATAAATGGATATTTTTCCTTGCAGAATTGAGGGTGAATAACTTTTGTTAAAATTAACTTTAAAAAAAAAAAAAACCAAAAACTGAAATTAGCTTTTGTTCTCACTGTTTGACATTAAAAGAAAGTTGGCAATCAGGTAGCTGAATGACAGGAAACAAATAAGCAACATTTTAGGAGGAAGGGGGGAAAAAAAAAGAAGTAAAAGGGTGTTTGTCTCTACGAAATTAAGCGAGTGCTGAAAAGTAAATCAGTGAGACAGCGAGTCATATTACAACTATTGAAGATACATATATACATGTATACATAAAAATCAGCGAATCTGGAAGATTGACTTCCTTAGTTTCAACAGTGATGAAAAATGTACTATCTTCTAAGTTAAAGCACCAGGAAGAATGAATTACAACATCATAAAGAATGAATGATTGAGAAAATCATTGCTCATATTTCTACAGTAATAATGTATCAGCTCTTGGACTACAACAATCAACAACAGATTAATGACATTACCAACTTCAAATGCGAAGAAGCTTATCTGAAAACTTGCGCTCCTTCAACTTCAAGGGGTCATATTGCTTCCCGGTTCCTTGTAACATAAACAAATCCGAACCCGGACAAAAAGAATGCTAACCTCCTTGGCTTGAGCTAGTTGAGTTGAGTGATCCATTACCAGCATTTATGGACATAAGGAAGAAAATTTGCAAAAATCTGCATTTCTATCATTCCTCCTCTGGAGCATAGCTGGGGCTCTGGTTCCCCCCCTCCAGAATTCAAGACAAGACGTAAGTAGACTATCCAGCCAATCGCCATCATACACAAATTGATCTTCTCCAATAAAGATTGATCCTCTTGTAATTCATACCTAAAATTGACCTCAAAATCAAGGATTTTCAACATTGAAAAAAGAAAAAAAAAATCTTTAAGAAATTAAAGGAATGACATCATACATGATAGAAAGAAAATAATTTTTTATTTTTTTTTGGGGGGTTAAATCTGAAGTATGTAGAGTGGAACTTCAATAACTCAATTCAGCTTAGTAACAGTTCAGTATTCGCTGGAGGAAGCAGGCAGCAACTATTTCGGTAAATGTTCACTAAATCATTGAGAGTCTGCATTCAGGGAAAAGCTGAATAAGAAATGGTAAAATACACCATATAAGAAAGCCGGCTTCTAGTACAGATGGGGTACAGTAAAAACAAGCTCTTTTGCTCAGCCGAGGTCATTAGCTGTATGGTTGGACATTTTGAACACTAGTACAATGAAACGGATGATGCTTTAATTCACCAAATACATCAATAGCTTGGATCTTATTTTTACCTCTGCCGGAAAACCTGATTTAGCAGTACACTCCCTGATATCTGAGGAGAGAATAGGATGAGGATTCAAACAAAGAAATCAAAAAATTTCCCAGAGGGAAATTTACCAGCTACTAAGTTGTCCCATAGACACTTATAGCACATCAACTGAAGCCTGTCGAATAGGAAGATGTTCAAGGAAAGATCAACTTATGTCAAAAATTATCTAAGCAAGTGAAGGCAATACCAATGTTATCCAGTACAAATAGTGCCTCCCAGTTCTTTGTTGAGGTGCCGAGGGAGCCTTGCCAGCACATGAGTCTTCGTATCAACCAATGTAGCATATGTTTCAGTCTCTGAGAGAGGCATTCGAACTTCATCATTTCGAAGCTAACTCTGCAGATAAAAAAGAGCCCATGAGACCATAAAAGAAAACAATTTCACTCCAGAATCACCCACATAGAGGATACACAAAGCACATAGAGGGGGATATGATATGCATCTTGCTTGTGGTAGTGAGGTGAGGGGCGGACTTACACAGAGGAGCATGCTCATGCAAATTTAAGAGCATTTAAAGCAGAGTGACCTGAAAAATATCAGTACATGTGCAGAACTAAGCAGCAATAATTCTCAAGTTTCACACTAGGTGCACGGCATCATAAAGCACTGAATCAAGAAACTAATGTTTCAAGGAAACAAACCTACAAGGGTAATTCACGTGTCAATCCTTCAAACAATAACTGATTTGCACCAACAATAAAATTTATGAATCTCAGAGCCCATTTGTCCTCAGCGGATGTAACTTGGATGGGCACCTTTTTGGCTACCTGAAATATCCCAAGAACAAAAAACGTTAATGGACACGTATAAGAACCACTTCATCTCGGAATTTATTTGAACGAAAGATAGTAGTACTTGACAGGTAATGCAGTAGATGTCAAAGGAGTTAAATATGAGAACAGACTCACAACTGAATATGAAAACTGGTAAAGTGAAACTTGACAGGTAAAGCAATAGATGTCAAAGTTTATAGTGGCAGAAGAATACCTCTTCTTCAAGTTCTGTGTGCCTAGCAGCACCTACTTTCATAGCTTTAGTGGGTTTCGCTTTGCCACAGGATAGAATGAACACCATTTGTTTCTCACACCATTCCTGAAGTCAAAATAGGACTGCAGTGAGACATACAAGTAATTCAATTAGACTAAATAGGTATTGCACTAAACAGAAGAGGAATCCCTATAGATCATATACAATGTTTATTGAACTGAATAGACTGCAACTGTCACCACACTAATTTTCCTATCCAATGTAAGTTTGGAAATGAAGCTGAAGGCTTTAATACGAGGAAAATACTCTCGTCCTAAAATAAACACGCACATTCCTTTGATTCTCTAGCATTTTAACTAGACCATCATATTGTGTACCTGACTGAAGAAATGATTACTCAAGACATATTTTGGAGACCCCAAGTAAAAGGTTCATGAAATTAACATTAATGAAATCAAGGCAGAAAATTCAGAATCCTGAAGATCTAAAATGTCGGGAACAAACAGCTAAGCATTACATTCACTGGCATTATCAGGAATACCCTAGATGCTCAAGGAACATGAAACTTCAAATGCCAATTTGAGGGTCACGTGTACAACAGCAATAATCACTCTTAGCCCTTACGGGAGTTTGTTCATAGTAGAGCATAAACAGTAATGCTAAATTGTATTTAAAACTTCAATTACCTGAATCAAGATCGGAACCGTGAGCTCCTAAAATTCCCTACAATCCCGTGGAGAAGGTCCCTATAAGTAGCCTCACCTAGTAGGTGCTTCTCTTGCAACTTCTCCAGTAAATCCACGGCATCTTCCACCTGTTTTTGGCGACATATCTCATTAAGCAGAGTCCGGTAGGTTATAAAATCGACTGATCGTTGGTTTTCAATCATCTCCCATAAGTAATTCACGGCTTGATCCAACTCCCCACCAAGAGCTAAGGAGTTCACAATGGAGTTGTAAGATTTAACACTTGGAATGAATCCCTTCTCCTTCATTTCCACACATAGCTCCCTAGCATTATTGGTTCTTCCTTGAGCGCAAAGCCCATGGATCAAGTAATCATATGAAAATGAATTAGGCCGGCAACTATAAACAACACCCATCTGATGAAATACCCTAAGGGCATCATTGACATGCAACGATAGCACATACCCCTTAATCAAACAATTCAAGGTGTAAACATCCGGTTCCACCCCATCATCCACCATTTGCCTAAACAAACACCGAATCGTGTCCATATACATGTAATTGATGTATGAATTCTTACCCGTACTTAACAACGCCGTGAAAAGGATATTATAAGTCGTAATAGACGGCCTACAATCCAACTTCCCCATGTCCTTCATGTGCTTATATATATTCACAGCCCTAGTCAATTTTCGAGCTTGGGTAAAATAATAAATCATGGTATTGTAAAGAGCTTCAGTACCAAGGGAACGAATAGCAAGCACTTGATTAACAATATCATCCATTTCTTCATACATTCTAGCAGCACCAAGCTTCTTTATGGTAATATGAAAAGAGGAAACATTGTGCCTAAACCTATGCTGTTGAGATGCCCAATTAAACAACTCAAGACATACCAAAGGGTCATCCTCTGAAGTAATGACATTGCAGAGCTCCTCAGGGGTGAACCTGGGCAGGAGTTTTGAAATAGCCCTCTGAAATTGAGCTTCATCCAACACTGGCTCAGCGGCAGCTTTTGCTCTTCTGCTCATTCTCCTCCTCAGAGATCTTGTTGGGGGTCCCCTCAGCCGCCGCCGTCGAATCGGAGAGGTGGCATAACTGGAAACCGACATCCGAAATGGATTTGAAACAAACCCAGGATTCCGTTGCTGAAATCCAAACGAATTCACCGAAGAAGAATCGACATGGGTTTTGAAGAAAATGTTGTAAAAAGAAACCTTCTTGGAATGAATCCGATGAAAAAAATTTCTGGGCACCAAGTACATTGTTAGAAATTTGAGATACGAAACTGAAAACGCAGATTAAAAAAAAGATCAAAGACTAGATAATGCAAAATTTCATCCTTCTACAGATTTCTTAAACCTCATTCAGAAGGGGATGAAATATTACTATTTTGTCCTCATCTTGAACCAAAGACGACCACTTTATTCATTAAAATTTAGGGGTATGTAAACGGATTGCTTTAGTAGGGTTTTAGTGTTCATCTCTTCTATTCCTTCGCTCCCTTCCTCCATTAACCATATTCTGATCTGTTACGTTTCGGATTAAAATGTATGCTTGAGGTTTGGTTGGCTCCGAATTCTTCTTATCATCAGGTGGGTTTCTGCTATTTCGCTGATTTAATTGGTCTTCCCATGTGTTAGTTTCCATTTGCTGCCCACTCAATCTTGTGTTCATTTTTAGGATAACTTCTTCTTCTCATCCCGGATACAGGATTATTTGTGTTATTTTAGGGAGTTTTCTTCTTTGTTCTTTCTTGTCTCTTGATTTTTCAGCTGTAATTAACTGCATTCTCTGGTGCTGTAATTCGATCCCCGATGTTCATAAGTTGTCGGAGATGGGCATATTCTCCAAGGTTTCTCTGTAATTTGCTACCGTTTTGTACATTTCTGATATTGAAGATTTCTGTGTTCATTTTTTTTAATTTTTTTTTTAAGTCTTGCCTATGCATTATAGAGTTCAAGAAGGCACTTTTCTTATTTAGTTTTGAAATTGGGATTGAGAATGCGTATACAATGTGGAATCAGGATGCTATAGAATCTAGATGCTCTTCTGCCGAGGATCTTATATTGTTACTGACTGGAAGATTCTGTCTTTCAATTCCTGTGATGTGTAGAGGTGATGTCTCGATATGTGATTCATTAGAGCTGTTTGATAAGACATTTGGTTCACCTCACATTCAGTTTGTAGAGTTGCTTGTCGATAGTGGTTTTCTACTATTACATTAGTGAATGAATATTATGTCAAACTGGGATGAGTCTACAGCATATGTTATCGTCGAAGATGCCCTTCCTAGTGACATGTTGTATCAGATGGCCTCTTTCTACATGAAAATGAATCTCTGGAAATGAGATGTTACATATGCTTTTTTTCTTTGTTTTCTCCAGGTAAATATTCGATATTGAAACAGTACCTCTAACTTCTAAAATTGTAAAGGCTGCAGTGACTTTATTGGACTGACTTCTAGAAAAGCCAAGAGCTGGCTTTGAAGCCTTAGAGTTTTCAATGGTTCATCATTCTAAGTATCTGCGAATCATGAATCTTTCTGTCCTCAGATCCTTGCGTGGACATCCAACTCTTCGTGGGGTTTTAGGTCCTCTTCAGTCTTGTTCTATTCAGACTGATTTTGTTCCCCGGGATCCAAAAGCTAAGCCTGTAAGATACAAGTATCCAGCTTCATATGACCCATATGGCCCGAGACCTCCACCTTCTGAGAAGATCATTCAGCTTGCAGAGCGAATTGCAGCCCTGCCTCCTGAAGAGCGTGAAATGATTGGTCCTACACTTATCTTCAAACTTAATCTTCCAAAGCTGCAACATATTTCTGTGGAGGGTGTGGATGTAGGTGCTCAGGGAGGGCCAGCTGCTGGTTCCAAGGCCGAAGAGAAGAAAGCAGAGAAAACGGCATTTGATGTCAAACTAGAGAAGTTTGATGAAAATGCCAAAATTAAGGTGCTCAAAGAGGTTCGTGCGATAACAAATTTAGGATTGAAGGAAGCAAAAGATCTGGTGGAGAAAGCGCCTGCCATAGTTAAGCAAGGTGTCACTAAAGAAGAGGCCACCGCCATCATAGACAAGATCAAGGCTGCTGGAGGTACTGCTGTGATGGAGTAATTACTTTCACACAGTTTGTATTTCTTTGTTTGTGTTAACTACTCATAAACCTCCGTCTTCTGGACAAGGAGAAATAACAGGCCTTTAAGAAATCTACTTTTATCTTTGAAGTTTACACTGTCTTCCTTCTAAAATCCATTTTCTTTTTTTTTTTTTTTTTGGTGCATAAATCCATTTTCTTTCTTGTATTCTTTTTCCTGTAATTTATGGTGTTTTGAATATATTGAAAATGACTTAGCTGAACATGTATAAGTGCCGTTGGAACTCATTGAGGTGCTTCATTGGACCCATGTATGAGATAGGGAATAGGAAAAGCGCACTTTCTTCTAGCGAAGACTAACAAGCTCAACTGCATTAGCAGAGATGGCTATAACGTTACGAAACTGGTAGGACAAAAGCAGTGTCACAACCAGGGGTATCAAAAACTAATTAATTTGGTTTCACTTTCAGTTCAGGGTAGATGTACAGAAATATTTCCATCAAGTAAAATGTTAAACAGGCACCTTTTGTATTAAGTGCATGAACATTTGGTATGTCAATAAGACTTGCTCCAAGTATAAACGAGAAAATCCACGTCCACATTTCGAAGAAACGTTGCTCAAAACTCTAGCTACTGTAAATCGCTGGAGGCGATGCAGGGTTTGCAAAGTTATGGTATAACTCGCCGAGGGCTGCAACCACATTTAGGTATGGTAGTCTTACTTGAATACTCCATGTTCCAGAAAAATAGTTCACTTTTTTTGAATTAAAAAAGTACCTCATTCGTCCTAGAAAAATAGTCGACATAGTACAAATCTCAAAACTCAATATGGACTATTTCTTTGGAACAGATAAAGTGGACTACTTTGTTTTTTGGGACAGAAAAAGTATTAATCATTCTGCTCGACTGGTTTAACTTTTTTCTCGATTTCTTTATGTAACTCATGTAACTTAACTATTTTCTGAATACTTGTCGCAGATGTGGGCATGAGTTTTGCTATGTTTGCGGAGCAAAATGGACAAACAATGAAGCAAAACATTATCTATGCTTGTCCATAAACCTGTGATCAGCCAGAGAGCTTAATCAAGCTTTACTTGCTAAGCTCACATGGCGTATTCACTCAAATCCAGACTAACTCTTTGCAAGAATATTTCAAAGCAAAGTATGCCAGAAAAAGGGAATTTTGGGTCTGTGACAGCAAGATATCATGTTCTTGGGGATGGCGGAGTATTCTTCATGGAAAAGAATTCTTAAATGCGGGGCTGAAATGGCGAGTGGTAAATGGAGAGTCTATAAGTATTGAAGAAGACTGGATCCCTGAGGCACAGAATCCCATAAAAGACAACTATCTCTTTCGAGGACTGATACAGCTGAAAGTCAAAGATCTCTCGGATCAAGATAGAACCTGGAGACTTCCCCTTTTACTCTCGCAGACGACGAACAGAAAATCAGGTCAATATATATTCCGCAACTTCCAGAGAATAAGAAGGATGCCGAGGTTTGGGCCAAAACTTCAGGTGGGGCATTCTCGGTGAAGAGTGTATATCATACTGCCAGAGGCTCGCTCACTCAAGCAGACCTCCCCTCAGGTCTGTCATCTGAGGCTTGGAAAAAGCTTTGGTCTTTAAGACTGCCCGAGAAGCTGCAGTGGCTAGTATGGTGTGCAGTTAATAGTGCTTTACCTTAAAGTATTTGCAACGCCGGGGCATTGACACTCAGACTGAATGTAAGAGGTGCAGGCAGGGCGAGGAGGATATTCACCACCCCTTTCTTCACTGCGACGTTGGAAAAAGGGTTTTGGCAGGCTTCCTCTTTTGGTCATAGCTATAGTGTCCCGACAGATAGTACTCTTGAGGCATGAATGAAGGGCTTGCTATAGTAACAAGCACCTTCACAAGAAGTCATTCAACAAGCTTTCTTCATCATATGGTCCATTTGGTATTTGGCGTAATCAGCATCAGCAGCCAAGAAGCACAATCTCACTTGCAACAAGGAATGGCAGCACTTTGCTGGCTCGAATGGCAGCACTTTCCCAAAGACTTCCCCTTTTACGCGTGGAGTCTCTCCCGTAATAGTACTATCCCCTTCCCATGGACCCCACACGTGTAATAGTCTAGGCACTTGTAAGTTGCTTCTTGTCAAAAAATTTATGGGTATACATATTTGCATCCTGATATTTTCTTTCCGAGTAAAGCGGTCCATTTACTTATTATCACGCGTTTCCTTTAATTTAAAAAACCCCAGTACCTCCACTGTAAACTATAAATAAAAATAGTCCCTGATGGAAAACCGGGAAAAATGAAAAAAGGCTTCAACTTAGAAGGTGCAATAATTTTCCCCTGAAATTGAATTATATTTATCCTGATTCAACAACTCCGGTGTCTGGTTTATTGCCGTTAGGAGATGGACATGGAGAAGTTCGGAGGTAGGCTTCCGGAAAATTGCAACCTTACACCAGCCATGTCCATAACGGGATGGTAATGAGTATTGACTTTCATATTCATAGTGAGATGTTTGATCAAGTCTTATTAAAATACTCCCGCCGTCCAAACATTGAGTTTTGATATTTATACAGATAAGAAAACTTAATGTAAACTATTTTCTTTTTTTTTGAACGGAAAGAATATCTACTCAATTACGACTTGGAAGACAAAAGAAGTTTCTTTTTTAAATACCGCGAAGACATCATAGGATTCATGTCATGGACATTGAAGAAGGACTATGGCATGGACAAGCGCAGTTATAAATCATCTGAATGTTCTCAATTCTTGAGAAAGGAAACTAAAAATTTCTACTTTTCGTTACTAAAAGATCCTCTCATATATGCATCTCATATACCATCTGATAATTTAGTAAACAATCAGGCGCTCATTCCAGGCAGGACATCCACAAGGTTTTTCATCTTTCTGCCATTCCATTCCACAGGCATAACAGAACTGACATCCACACCTGCCAGAAAGAACCAAAAACAAAGAGGTCAGCTAAATTTCACCTCATTTCAACAGCAAATTCAGTATGATTCAATTCAGTACCTGCATTTTATGTGGTAACAACCAGCAGAGATTTCAATCATATGGCTACATTCGATGCATCGGCGCCACGAGTAACGTCGTGCAAGAGAGATCAACAGCGCTTCCTCTGCGCTCGAATGGGGATGCAACAACTTGTAGTCAGAACATGTGGTGTCCTTGTGCCACGGAACCTTGCAATTCACACAAAATCCATTGCCACATTTCAAGCATTTCCTGAACCCGGAATCAACATCATTCTTGTTTTTCGGGGCCACCATAAATTCAGTGTAATACAAGGCCGCTGATTTTGACATGAGGTGAGAGCACTTGGGAAATGGGCAATAAATCCTATTAAGGACAGGAATCTCAGATTCTTTCAGGCGTTCTTCCATCAAAGCCACCAATCTAGGGGTTAAGATCTTCTTGCAGTTGCCAATTTTGATACTGGATTTACATCCTTCCTGAGGACAAGTTGGCAAAGTACCTTCTTCGCTTAGTTTCACCTCAGCAAGTTTTCTCAGACAAGTTGTACAGTGATTATGAGTGCAATCATGAAGGGAAGACATCCGACGAATCTCCATTTTCTCCAAACAAATCCCACAAGTATTATTACGCTTACTCCCCATCTCAACACAGAATTCGTCCTTAACTCTCAATTCTGTTTTTAACAAGTGATTGATAAAACTGAAATTAATCATCCAAATGATCAGATTAATCAGAGAACAATAACCCATCAAAAATTTATATGTATGTATCTAGTAGCTAGTCTGTTAAGGACTTTCAAAAAGATGTAAAATCCTAGGTTTTCTAGTGAAATTTGACACTCAACAGTCTTATCAACACACTTTAAAACAGGGGATTCATGAACATAACTGCAAGAACAACCATAGCACAAATCAAGGACTAAAAACAGAATTATTATAAAATAAAGTAAAAAAAAAAAAGGTGAAGAGGGACGAAGATGGAGAGTGAACCTGAAGAGAGGGAAGAACAAGAAGAAGCCTTGGAAGTTGTACAATGTATTGAGCAGTAAAAGAGTTTTTGAGTTCTTCTTCTTCTTCTTCTTCTTTTCTTCTTCAAGGGGAAAAAGAAAAGGGCCAAAAAGAGTTTTGTAATATATTTTCCTCTTTATATAATCTCGTAATATTACTAAGAAGGAAGTGGTGATATCTGATTCAATTTCCGACTAATTCGTTCCCATTATAATCACCAAAAGCCAACAGAATAAAAGCTCCCCCACACTTTACATGTATTTTTTGTTGTATAACCCTTATGAAAACAGAACTCTAATTCTAGGATACTACCTTGTTGCAGAAAACTCTAATTTTGGATTAATGGATACGTAAAATACTCTGAAGTTCCTCACTTGGAGTCAATATTGCATTGTAACACGAACTTCCATTGAATTTGGGGAAAAAAAAAAAGAAACTTACAATCAAATTATAATTTGGTAACAAAAATATTCCATTCCATTCAATGGGAAACGTTAATGATTTAGCAGTCACATTACAAGTACTTTAAGCTCGGCAGACCAACATGATGCCGGTGAAGTCATAGAAGGAAAACCCATGAAGAAGCCGGTGTCTCTGGAGATACTCGCCGGAAAGCCACTGCCGAGCTTTCTGACATCGATGCAACACCTGCTTCCGGTCGCCGTACCGGCGTGGGCGAGGATAACCGGAAGGTCACCCTCCCTCTGTATCTTTTGAATTTGGGGGGTAACTTTTCATCTTTTATTTTGGCTAATTGTGTCTTTTTGGTTGGGATTAAGGTGAGAGCTAAATTCGGTGAAGTTCGTCGATCACGCGATGTTTATACCTATTTCCCCCACCTTCGTGAGGTTTGTCCTCTCCTCGATCGCCCTCTCTTTTTTTTTTCCTCTTGGTTATTTTGTCGCGAATTACAATTTGATAGTGTTCATCTCTATAAGGGGGCGAAAGTGGTTGATCCCGGATAGATTCCAATTGAGAATATCCGACTTTCTGGCGTGATGATGGCTCAAACCCACCTAATCTTGGATCGGGACTCCCAGCTTTCGCTTTTACTTTCGGACCAGCACAAGGAGAGGTTATGGTGGCCATCAATCATCCCCAATACGGTGCGTTTTTTATTTGTATCGTCCCATCAAGCTGTAAATGAATTGCATTATCTGTATAGTTATTAAAGAAGAGAAATGCGCTTACGATTTCAACTGGATGTAGAAATGAGAGATTGGGTTAGGAATGATGGATGGATGGATGGGCTTCTTGGTAGATTAGTTGTTATGCTTGGTTATCCAGGACAGAAGTAGTTTTAAGAATTAATCATCTCTAAACTCCATGGCTATGGGATTCAGGAGTTGTTCCAAACTTCATTGAACTTAATTCCCCCATGGTTGCCTCCATTGCTGGAGGGGATGGATTCGAAGAGCAAAAGGATCGTGATGATTGCACTTCGCTGCTGGAAAATCTGAATGTGGAAGGTATTTATTCTTAATTCCCAGAAGGAGAGAGGTCAATATTCCTTGTGTTCTTATGAATATATTGCTGAAAGATTTTGCCTTTGTGAATTCCATGTGTGTCAGTGCTGCGAATGGAAACTTGAGAAGGTGAAAATCTCTGTGGCTGAGGCAGCAAGGTTAATGGCTGAAGTTCTGGCTTCCACAGATAAAGTGGGACTTGTAGCAGGGTTGGACGACAACATGGTATTGTTCAAATTTCTTTGGTGTAATTAGGCTTGTTTCCAATTATTTGGCCCATACCTCTTATTCTTATCAATTATGTTATGCTGTGTTGGTTTCTTTCTTTGGTGTGGCGTCCTGGATTGTATCACGTTGATGGTGAGGGCGTACTGATTAAAGGGAGTAAAACTGCCATTGGATCTGGAATTCTGTTTTCGTATGCTGCTCTGGACTGTGTTTGGTTATCCGTCGAATGTGAACGTCGCAATTCCTTTTCTTTTCCTGACTCGAATTTTCCTTATGAGAAGTATGTCTCCTTTTTGTTTCTTCCTGCTTGGTTAGTATGTTATATGTTGAGCAATAATTCTTCGCCTTTTATTTGTCTTAATTTGTTTTCTACTTAGTAGAAAATATCTTGATAGAGCTATTTGGTCGGCTGGTGAAGCTGCCTGGTGAGCTAAAAAAAGCCATGTGTTGTGTTGCAACTAATATGCCCGGTGCTGATGTTTTCGTGACTGGTATGTTGGTTTTCCGCTGGTGCTTTCTCCATGTTGTAGCTGAAGATTAGTAGGTCATTTCAATTTCCTTCCTAATGGTGAGTGCATTCCTTTTTTTGTTGTTGTTGTCAAGTGTACCATGTAGGACCTCTTGGTTGTAAAATGGTTCATGATAGCATTCATGCAGACAGCTGGGGGTGGTCGGCTATGGATTGCCCCCAGCCGATCGCACGACAGATTGCCCCCAGCCTTTTCGAGAGATGCCCCATATTTGTGATTTGAGATGAGATCGATAAAGAGAACACAAGTCTTGCCCCGTCGCTTTGTTTGTGCTTGTTAATCTGTAAGAAGTTTGTAAACTGACAGTGTTTACTTGAGTTTTCTGTGTTTGTTTCTGGGAAGGCATAGCAGTGACCAGTAGATGATTCTTGGCCCGGATAATACCGTTTAATTTAGTATTGGAAAATGCTTACTAATCAAGAGAATTTTAGACTTGATTTGTTCTGTTTAATTTAGAAGTTCAGTAACAATGAACAATTCCAACATATAGAAAAGCTAGTTTGGGGTGGTCGACTGTTTTACTTGATCCCATGAAGGACGACATCTTGAATCCCTCAGCGCCAATCCCATCGAAGTATATTTGATTAGGGGCCTTTCTCCATTTTGATATTAGTTAATCAGTCGACATTAATGTAGACCATCTTCAACTCTTGACCTTTATTTTGATCCCAGTAATAGTTCCATAACTTGTGCTAGATAAAAAAAATCATCATTGCTCAAATTGTCATCATAACTTGTCAGCATTTGATTATTCTATTCATACCTTTATCCTGGACGAACATTGCTCAAATTGGCTGATAATATATAGGAGTATAAATTTATTTTCAAAAACGTACAATTGAAATTTGAAACAAGTGTGATCGTTGTACTGTATAACTTAATCCAAGATCTCGATAGGACACAACAAATACGATAAACTCGAAACAGTTGCCGTCCTGATGCAGATGAACCAGTAGTACTAATATGTAGTCTTTATTACTAACAGAAATCTAAGTTGCGCCAACATAGCTTTCTAGTGCAAGTTCAATAATGAATATCAGAAAAATCAACCCTGTTCTTCTTCTTGTCTGCGTGATTTTGATGTCATGTGTTAGTAGTCTCAATGCCTTTGTAACATCGCGAAACGCTGCATTTGAACATTATTTGAAGGCTAAGATGATGAAGTTGTCGAAGCACTACCTCATTGATGATAAGTTCTCTTCCGAAGCAGTTCCTGATCAACTACATGATGAGCTGATAAAAAACCAAGAAGGGTTAAAAGAGAAAGACAGGATTTTCACAAGTTTCCGGAACAACCTCCCGTTGAATTCAAACAATACGGTGGATCTACAAGTTTCAATCTGAAATTCGGGAAAAAGAAAGAGAGAATTGAACCAAAGAACAAACTGTTCTTGATCCGATTTGGGAAAAAATCAACTGTATTATTTACTCTGTGTAACTGTACAAACAAAACTATGACTTGGCTTTAAATACCCCCAACATTATTTACATAACTATCCCCCTAGTTCTACATATTTACAAGAACATCCCTACATGGCTATACAGTATATACACATTTACAGCCTCCCCTCAAGCTGATGATTGAAGAAAATTCTTCAATCCCAGCTTGGCCAACAAACCAGCAAACTGAGGATAAGGAAGGGACTTAGTAAAAAGGTCAGCAAGCTGATCCTTAGAAGGAGTGTAAAGGGCACAAGGAAACCTTGATTGCAATGATGACGAACAAAATGACAATCGATTTCCAAGTGTTTTGTCCGCTCGTGGAAAACGGGATTCTCCGTAATATAGATCGCTGATGAGTTATCACACCAGAGAGGAACAGGTAACGAAACAGGAACAGCAAAATCTGCCAGCAAATAACTAATCCACAGCATTTCCCGGGCAGTGAAACTCAAGCTCCGGTATTCAGCCTCAGCCGAGGAGCAGGAGATGGTGTCTTGCTGTTTCGCCTTCCACGAAATCAAAGATGTTTCCAAAAAAACACAATAACCAGAGATGGACTTCCTGTAAAGCGGATTGGAGCCCCAATCCGCATCACTATAGGCTTCCAGTTTCAGAGAGTTGGCAGAGGGGTAAAACAAGCCATGAGATACTGTGCCTTTTAAGTATCTCAGCACATGTAGAAGAGTTTCGCCATGATCTGTACAGGGTTTGTGCATGTGCTGACTAAGCTGCTGCACTGCAAAAGTGATGTCAGGACGGGTGAAGTTGAGATACAGCAGCTAGCCAACCAATCTTCTGTAGCCGGATGCATCTTCCAAAACAGGACCGGGATTATCAGAGAATTGGTGGTTCTTTGGAAGAGGAGTACTAGCAGCTTTGCATCCAAGCATGCCAGTGTCTTGTAGGATATCTAAAACATACTTCCGTTGATTCAAGTACAATCCGTCGGGGGACCGAGCAAGTTCAATGCCAAGAAAATACTTCGCATATTGCAGATCTTTAATGGTAAACTTCCGATGTAGGAACTGTTTCACCTTAGTGAGGACCTCTTCATTAGCTCCAGTGAGTAAGACATCATCAACGTAGACAATAAGAGCAGTAAAATGACCTTCAATGCACCCGGTAAACAAACAAGGGTCATTGGCAGATTGTTTGAAGCCAAAAAACTGAAGCTGCTGAGTAAATTCAACATTCCACTGACGCGATGCCTGTTTTAGACCATAGAGGGATCGTGCCAGCTTACAAACTTGGCCTGGGGTGGTTGCATATAGACTTCCTCCTCCAGAAAGCCATGGAGGAAGGCATTATTTATATCTATCTGATGCATAGGCCACGCGGAAGCAGTAGCGATAGCCAAAAATAGTCTAACAGTGACCACTTTAGCCACGGGAGAAAAACAATCATAGAAATCCTCACCCTCAACTTGAGAATATCCTTTCGCTACCAACCGAGCCTTGAATCTATCGATAGAACCATCTGGGTTATGCTTAATCTTATAAACCCATTTGCTCCCTATGGCAGTTTTCCCTGGTGGTAATACGGTCAAACTCCATGTATTATTGGTTTCCAACGCATCCAATTCCAGGTTCATTGCCTTAACCCACTCTGGATTTAACCGAGCTTGAGAATAGCATTTTGGTTCCTTAAAAGTACTGATCTGTGCTAGAAAGGACACATGGGTTGCAGAAAAATTTGAAGGAATATGGTATGGAAAGGTATCAGGTGTATGAGGAGAAGATACAGGATGAGTAAAGGAAGTGGGATGAACAGGATTGGCATTGTGTGCATAATCTGTATGGAAGTCTTGCAACCAGCTGGGGGGTTTGCTAATTCTAGTACTTCTTCTAGAGGGTTCTGGACGTGTAGAAGGAATGGAATGATGCTGAGAAGAAATTTCCGGATCGTGATTAATAGGAAAAAGAGAATGATCAGTCCTAGAGGAAGTAACGGGGGATGAAGTTTCAAGAGGTGGACTAGTAGTGGGTGAAACTGAGGGATTGAACCATGAATTTTGATCATACACGAATGGGAAGGTGAAATCTGGAACAGGTTTGTCGAACGAAGAGGAATTCAAGTAAGGGAAAACTGACTCATGAAACACCACATCCCGAGAAATAAGGACCCTCTTACAATGTAAATCGTACACTTTATACCCTTTTTGGCCTGCCGGATATCCTAAGAAGACACATTTATGAGCCCTAGGATCAAACTTATCTTTCTGTGGATGAGTGTTGGTTGCATAGCAAAGGCATCCGAACACCCTTAAGTGGTTGAGATCTGGGGTTTTAGAAAACAACACTTCATGTGGTGATTTCCAGTTTAGAAGAGATGATAGAAGTCGGTTAATAAGGTAGGTTGCGGTGAGAATAGAGTCCCCCCAAAAAGTTTTTGGTAAGCGGAATTAGAAAAGAAGTGATCGAGCAATTTGTAAAAGGTGCTTGTGTTTTCTCTCCACAACACCATTTTGTTGTGGAGTGTAAACACAAGTCTTCTGATGTATAATTCCAAGGTTACTGAACAACGATTGGCAGTCAAAAGAGGTAAATTTTGTGCCATTGTCAGACCTTATAGTCTTGACTGACACTTGAAACTGAGTTTGAACCATTGCAAGAAAGTTTCTGAGAATACTAACAGTCTGAGTTTTATTATTCATAAGAAAGGTCCAGGTACATCGACTAAAATCCTCTACTATAGTCAGGAAATAGTACGCACCATTCAAGGTTTTGGTTTTATAAGGCCCCCACAAATCAACGTGAATCAACTCAAATATAGATTTTGTCTGTATACAACTGTTTAGAAACTCTAATCGATGTTGTTTTGACAATGGACAGACATTACATATGTCTTGATCAGACTTATTCTTTGAAAGAAAACCTAATTTGCTAAGTACTAGATCTGACACATGCCCCAGCCTCATATGCCATTTAAACGTACTATTTTCAGCTGCCAGGTTGGACTGATGTGGAGTGATGGAGGTAAGTTGAAGAATGAAAGGATGATTCACATGATCTTTGATGAAGAGGTTGATAGTGTTATCTGAAAAGGATGTTGAATCTAAGATGTATAGCCTATGCAGAACCTTGCCTACAGCAACCAATTTTCTAGTCGCTTGGTCCTGTAGCAGGCAAAAAGAAGTGGAAAAAAAACAATCAATTTTGGATGATGAGGCTAATTTGTTGACTGACAGAAGGTTATATCGGAAGGAAGGAACATGGAGGCACTCAGGCAGTTCTAAAGTCTCTGAAAGTTTTACGGTTCCTATATGTTCAATTCCTTTTACACTACCATCAGGCAATGTAACAGGTGTAAACTGAGTTACAGATCTATAAAAGGCTAAAAGTTTAAGAAAAGCAACCATGTGCCCCGTAGCGCCAGTATCTAAGAACCAAATTAAAGCTAACTCTTTATCAGTCAAATTAAGAGCACTTAAAGCTTGAAATGTTGCCATACCTGCAAACTCATGAAAGTGAGCAAAGTTGACCTGTTCTCCTTCCTTTCCCACAGCCTTTCCTTTCATCATCCTTGACATCTCCTGTTGCATAAGTTTCATCATCGACATCATACTATCACCATTGATCTGTAAACCTGTTTCCTGATCAAACGGAGTTTCCGCAAAATTTGCCATGTTTCGACCAGTAGCTTCTGCTTTCTTCCTTTCTTTGAGCCCTTCCCACCAATCCGGGTATCCAATGAGTTTGAAACAACCTTCCTTGAGATGTCCCGTTCCTCCACAATTATCACATTTCATCAGTCTCTTCAATGCCTTGTCCATCCTAAAGGTATTCTCCTTCCCCAGAGTAGATGTGGACTTATAACTTGCAGGCTTATAATTCCCAGGCTTATAACTTGCCATATTCCCTGCATTTCCTGCATTTCCAATCCCTGCATTTCCTATATTTAACGGTTTTCTTTGCACCATCATAGCACTTTGCTCCACAGGTTCAACATAAGTTTATTCACCATCTGTTGTTTTTCTATGTTAACAGCCATAGAGTATGCTTTCTTAACAATCGGCAATGGATCCATCATTAAAATCTGATCCCTTACTCCAGCATACGAATCATTCAATCCACTTAGAAATTCCATCAGTTTATGCATGTTTTCCCTTGCATTATTCTTATTCAGATTACAAGTACATTCATCCATTGGACCCAAGCAATTTAACTCATCCCAAAGACGTTTCAACTTTGAGTAATAAGCTGCCAGAGAGAGATTACCTTGTGTTATTGTGGCTACCTCCCTTCTCAGGTGATATATCTCCATTAATTATGCCATATCTTTCTTGTATCTCATCCCACAGCTCTTTTGCATTGATAGCTAGATCATAGTTATCCACCAGTTCATCAGAAATCGAATTTAGAATCCAGGACACAACCGTGCCATTCACCCTGTGCCATTGCTCACGATCTGGATGCCCTAGCGGTGGTTCACCGACGCTTCCATTAATAAAGCCTAGCTTGTTCTTTGTTCCAAGGAATCTTCTCATGTTGTAACTCCATGAAACATAATTCAGATCTGTCAATTTGTTGGAGATGACCACCATTGATGAATTATCTGACGGATGCAAGAACAAAGGGTGAACGTAACCTCCTCCTCCATAGTTTGAGTAAGCTCCGTCATCCCTCCGGTCTTCAATCTGATGCTCCCTTTCATGATTCAAATCCATCTTCTGTTGAAATCGCGATTCCTAGGGTTTCTGTTTCCGATCAACCGCTGGAAATTCGTTCCAATCAATCGGTCCGTAGCCTGGTTCTGAGCAGGATCTAGTCCTGCTCTGATACCATCTACAAGTTTCAATCTGAAATTCGGGAAAAAGAAAGAGAGAATTGAACCAAAGAACAAACTATTCTTGATCCAATTTGGGGAAAAATCAACTGTATTATTTACTCTGTGTAACTGTACAAACCAAGCTATGACTTGGCTCTAAATACCCCCAACATTATTTACATAACTATCCCCCTAGTTCTACATATTTACAAGAACATCCCTACACAACTATACAGTATATACACATTTACAGTGGATATGTCACTGTCGACGAATACGATGGTCGTGCATTTTATTATTACTTCACCGAAGCTCAAAATCCAGCCATGGCTAAACAATTGCCTCTTCTTCTTTGGCTCCATGGAGGTATATATGTTATATATTGTTATTAGAGTGATTATACTAGTGTTGAAATTTGATTTGAGGACCTGTCCTAATATGGTTTAGGTATTTACTCTGTTATAATTAGTCACAAGTAATAAAATTACTGTATGATTCAGGTCCCGGTTGTTCGTCCCTTGGAAATGGAGCATTTGAAGAACTTGGACCATTCCGAGTGGGTAGCGAAGGAAAAACACTGTTCAAGAATGAATTTGCTTGGAATCATGGGATGCTACTTTGCCATAATTAATTCTACAGTCTCACGAAATTCATATTAATTCGCTGTTTGACATAAATTGATTGTCACTACATTCTACGCACACAATTAAACAACCAAACAGTGGCCAATGTGTTGTTCGTGGAGTCGCCGGCCGGAGTTGGGTTTTCGTACTCCAACCGGACCGACGTTTTGTTGGAACCGCAGGGAGATACAAAAACAGCTGAGCAAAATTATTCTTGTTGAATTGGCTTGAAAGGTTTCCAGAGTACAAAAATTGGGATTTATTCATAGCTGGAGAGAGTTATGCTGGTCATTATGTGCCTTAATTGGCATATAACATATTCTACCACAACAAATTGGCTAACAAGAACATCATTACCCTCAAGGGAATCTTGGTAAGCCCCTCCCTGACATCCAATTTTTTGAGCCAAGATAATTTTGCCTAACCATCTGACAGAGGAAAAGAATATCATAATGTGATAATCTTAGTGTCAGCAAGTATGTTTGTAAATAATATTAATCGCGCCTGGTGAGGAAAAAAATATATAAGTTTTAATGGACCAATATTGAACACGTATCAAAATATAGTATAACAGAAATGGTTCTATGGATTTTTTTTTTCTGTGAAAATGACACGGCAATTGAAAGGATTGTTTTTTTTTTTTGGTTTTATTATTGTGCTCGTAGATAGGAAATGCTCTGATTAATGGGGAGACAGATACAAAAGGGATTTTCGAATATTTGGCGTCTCACGCTCTAATCTCTTGAGAAACATTACAACAAGATTTGAAGTACTATGATTTTTCACCTAATTCCAACACATCAACAGCAGAATGCGATGCCGCCTTTGGAGTTGTTCTTCAACTATATCAACACATTAACCCCTACAATATCTATTATCCCCTTTGCTTGCATGCTAAACTCACAGGCAGTCCCAAAAAGTTTTCGGTAAGTCCTCATTAACCAATCTCTTTTGAGAAGAGTTTGGGTAGTGGAGCTTAGGCATGCTCATAGGAAATGTTATTTTCTCGCTGATTTTTTAGCAGCCCTGGCAGCATCGAATCCAGGAGGACTTATACGACTGGATTCGGCACCACCAGAAGCCTTAAGATGGTTATACCGCGATAGAGTTGGAATAGCATATCTCAGGCATGCTGTAATATAACCTTTTGTAGCTATGAGTAATATATTCCCTTTTTGAGCAAATAAAAATAAAATAAAAAATGAACTACTCATTCCAATTTTTTTTAATTTTCTGTATTTTGGCTCTTCATCAATCTAACAAATTCTCTCGGATTTAAAATATATTTTGCTAGAGAATATCACCGTACCTAATCATATTTGAATTGTTTATATCCAATCATATCTCAATCGACCAGAATACCAGAAAGCAATGCATGCGAATGTCACCAAATTACCATATGCTTGGAGTGATACAACGGTAACTTTCACTCTCTAAAAAAAAATTCTCTAACTTCTCTCTACCTCCGTTTCCCACTTTCGTTTCAAACTTTCACCCCCCTTCCTCTCCGATGGATTCGAAGATGGAAGATTCACCTTATATGGACCCAGATAAAGATAATCCAGCTACTAAAAAGTCAAAAACAAGGAATTAGAAAATCAGAACACCTCCAAAAACACCCAAACGACAACCGCAACAACTCAATTAGGCAACACTCCATGGGCCGATGGGGCTCCATCTTTCAGAGACCGGTTGCTGAGAAGCCAATCCAGTCAGGTCACAAATGAATTCCATATGACCAAGGTCACAGTTGAAGAAGATGATATAACATACAGTGAAGAAGATGGTGTTCTCTCAACCGACTTCTCTAAAAGAGTTTGATATCAGATGGTAATAACAATGACCAACACTATTGCAGTCAGACCACTCGGGAAAGACTTCCGCCACGATTGGCTCTTCAAAAGATTAAAAGGTCTCTGGAAACCAAAAGGAGGCATTAGCCCTGTCGATTACATAGAGGGCTACCACCTATACAGAGTCAACAACGAGGATGATTTCTACTCAATACTCCTAGGTGCCCCCTGGACTCTGGATGAATCATACATCATGGTACTCCCATGGTCCAAAAACTTTAACCCCAAAGAAGATAACCTGGAAACAGTACCAACGTGGATCAGAATCCCTGGGCTACCAGTCTACTACTTCCACGAAGATCCCCTGAAAAGCTTAACAAGGCCTCTGGGCAGATACATAAAGGCATATCGAAACACGCTGGCAGTGGAGCGAGGAAAGTATGCAAGAGTGGCTGTGGAGCTAGATCTCACAAAGCCGCTCATAGGCAAGACAAAAATTGATGGAAAATACGACAACATAGAATATGAGGAACTACAAAAGATTTGCTATACATGTGGAAAATATGGACACCTAAAGAATGAATGCAACCCATCTCCGGTGACAACTCCGGCGGCAAATCCGGCAGAAACTGACCCTCAATCCACTGAAACCTCATCAGCACCAAAAACGGCTAATTCTGACACATGCAGCCCCTCACAATACCTGCACAAACCACTAAAGACTCCAACAGTGGGGGAATGGAGCCATGCTGTCAAAAGGGGAAAGCGTTATGGTCCACCACAAACAGGTAAATTTACCAAACCTATTTTTACCACTACTAACCAAAACTCTCTCTTCAATCCTTTTGCGGTTTTGGAGGGCCTTGAGAAAGATTCTACGGAAACAGCATCATCATCAGGAATTAAGAGTCCCACAAACTTTGAATGGAGCAAAACGCCCCCATCAGCGCCTCAACGTTTACAATAAAGGGAAAGTCCTCAAATTGGAACTAAAAAAGGTCAACCTAAAGCCTCCGGCCCAAATAACAAAGCACCAGAAACCACCTCAGTTCCCACAAAAAGAAAACCTGAACAGTTGGGAAGAGAAAGAGCCTGGATAAAAAAATCCAATAAAGAAACTCCAGCAAATGACCAAAGCCCAATCTAACCCAACACAGAAACCCATCAAGCAACCCCTCCTGCCCCAAACCCCTTAGACTAACCCAAAAATGACCACACTCTATTACCCGGAATTCAGGCCCAAATACTTGACCCTACACACCATACCACAGTCTGCATCCCACACCCCAATCCCCAAACTCCCAAACCCACAATTCACACAAACCAAACTCACCAAATTGAAGCATCGAAAAACCTCTCTCTATCCGGCAGACTTCCTGATCCATGCAAGGTTTTTAACCTGAAACAAAATATAAAAATGTCAAGATGAAGACACGTTATAACTTGAAACGATGGACTTGGAGGAGCCGTCAATGCTCCCTGACAGTATAACAGTATCTGAAATGGAGGATGAAGAGCAGCTGCGGGAAACCGGCAAGTAAGCTCCTCCATATAATCATTATATTTTGTTTAATGAATATTAAGATTCTATCGTGGAATATGCAAGGAATTGCAAACATTGAAACAACCTCTGTTCTCATGGATTTAGTTAAACTAAACTATATCCAAGTTCTCATAATCATCGAACCTAAAATCAACGGCAGAGATGCAGATTTAAAAATCAAGACTCTTGGTTTTTAAAATTCACACAGAATTGAATCAGTAGGCTTCTCAGGCGGAATCTGGCTGCTATGGAAAAACACTGTAACTATTCAAATTTTAGAAACAACTGGCAATAAATTCATGGAAAGATTTTCTGTCAGATATTTCTTCTTGTTACATAACCGTAGTGTACGGAAGCCCTCAAAGGCTTACAAAAAGTACATTGTGGGGAAACCTAAATCGTATTGCAGGAATCACTATCGAGCCATGCATAGTCCTTGGAGACTTCAATGCAATAGTAGAAGAAACTGATAAAACCGAAGGAGCAAAGTCGAAAGGCTGTAAAAAGTTCATCAATTGGATTAACAACAACGACATGTTGGACCTTGGATTCATTGGCTCAAGATTCACATGGAAGAGAAGCCTATGCCATGTCAGATTAGACCATGCTTTAGTCAGCAATAAATGGAACAACCATTTTGAAAACACAAAAGTCCAGCACCCTACCAAGACTAGCATCAGATCACTCCCCGATACTAGTACAATTCACCAGTCGTACCTCTACCCCCCCCCCCAAAGAAAGTTTTTCAGATATCTCATGGCATGGGAACAACACGATCAATGGAGGATTTGGATGAAGGAAAACTGGAGTAAGGAATCTAACCTGTCCACAGCACTGAATGACTTCACCACAGCAACGGAGGACTGGAAGATCAACTATTTTGGTGACATCCATAAATGGAAAATAAGAATCATGGCACGTTTATCAGGAGTCCAAAAAGCTCTTGCAACTCACCCCTCTATCAGCCTACAAAATCTTGAAAGTGAGCTAAGAAAGGATTATGAACAAGCAGTCACTCAGGAAGAATGTCTCAGAATCCAAAAGTCAAGATCACTCTGACTAGCCCACGGAGATAAAAACACAAGTATATTCCACTCAGCTCACAAACCCAACAGAAACAGAAATAAAATAAAGGCATGCAGCTGGAAAACGGAGACTGGTCAACGATCAGAAATTTCTAGAACAAGAAGCCACAAAATTTTTGAAGCAATTATATACAGAGAGAACACCAACCCCAAATGTGTTGTACCACAAACGAGACTCCTTCCCACCATCCCAGCAAGACTGATCAACATGCTTATTGCTCCCCTCCAAGAAAATGAAGTCACAACAGCAACTAATGAAATGGATCCTTCAAAAGCCTGTGGAATAGATGGATACTCAGCGGGCTTCTACCAAAACAATTGGCAAACAATTCAGCCAATAGTTTACAATATGGTGAAGGAGGCATTCAACTCCGGGCAAGTACAACCAGGAATCAACAAGGCCATGATAATCCTGATCCCAAAAGTCCAACCACCTGAAAGATTCCAAAATCTAAGGCCAATTAGTCTCATAAACGTCTCAGCCAAGATCCTATCAAAGGTGGTAGCCAACAGAATCAAGAAAGTAATGCCTTCACTAGTCTCCAACACACAAACTAGTTTTATTCAAGGAAGGAACATCATCGACA